TTTTTTTTTTTTTGAAATTCCTATTTGTTTGAAAGCAATTACAAATCTAAGAGCTTTTTGTGATGTTTGTTAGCTTTTTTTTCTGCTTTAAATATTGACTATTAATCTATTGTTGTAGAAAATTTATTTTTCCGTCACAAGATTTTTATTTTTTTTATTTTATAAGTTCGCGCTTGAGTAGTTTCACTAAAAGGAAAGGAGAAAGAGAGAGATTACATGTTGTTAGATACAAATCTTTACATTCATAGTCTTAATAGTCATGGAAAGAAAGAAAAAAACTTAATAAATAATGATAAAAACCGTGGGGATATTTCCGCATCGTGATCTGTCGCGCTAACTACAATTGCCAAGGTGCAAAATAGAATTTGAATTTGCAAATTTTTATTTTAAAAAAAACATGTAGATGATTGCAAAGGTTGGCTACGAGTTATAACCTTTCGAGTTGGTCCCTTTCTGAGATGATTTTTTAGTTTATCGTGGGCTGCTGCCCGGAAGTTGCGAAGACTTGGCGATTACTCTGTCACTAGTCACGATACGGAAATATCCCCAAAACCGTTCCTTACTTAATTTGGCAATGGATTATTTTTCAAATCTAGTCAATCGTCTATTATATTATGAATGATTAACAAAATGTTTTTACATGAAGCTACAATAATTGTATAGTTTGAATTAAAGATGTTCGGCTTTTTTGGAGAATATTGACGTTTAAGAAATAAATAATGATGAATTAGAATCAATTACGGGGTTGGCGAGCGGAGTGAACAGGCAGTGGATCAAACTAATCTAGTAAAATTTCGGCTACATGCCAAGGAATCGCTAAATACTCGAAAGCTGCATTTTAAAGAACACGCACAGTTTAAAGAAATCTGACAAACTATGCATGACAAAGTTTTAATATTTACTAGACAGAAATTCGCGTAATTTTCATTTGAAATTTATGTACTAACGAATTGATAAATTTTTAAATTAATCAAATTTCCTACCCTCTTTAGCCTTAGATAGCTACATAGTTTGCCTAGGTCGCATCTAGTTTCTCCACTTTTATGTGTATTTAATGTTCAGTCAAAAATCTTTGTTAAAAATGGCCTAGGTCTTTTTATTAATTGACTGTTTTCTTAAGATTCATCAATAAAATATTAAGGGAAAACTTAATGTCAATTTAACAGAAAACTATACATACTTGATTCGACAAGTTAAAAGTATTGTAGCAAAACTTAATTATAACACGTAATTTATCTACATAGTCCGGTAGAAAAAAAAAAGCCCAAGTAATTTATTTTCTTGAATAAGCGAGGATTGGTGTATACTAATTCAGTAAATTAATATTCTGTCAACGTCCCAAAATGTGTATTAGTTTTGACGCAGTTCTGCGAAAAAGTCAATAAATATATGAAATAACACACATCATTAATAAAGTCTACTTATCTTTAGAAAAAACTTCCTCTTCAAACATTCGAATGAATGACAACATAGCGATATTACTTTTCCATTTAAGAAAAATCGGATTCTGTTAACGAGGACAAATAAACAAACATACGTGCGTTGGTTTATTTGTTGTTATTTGATGGTCTGGTTTAACTATAAAAATTATAGTTCTTTGTTTAGCTGGTCGTTTTGCTTTACAAATAAATTTACACATCTACAATAAACTAAAATGCAGATCGCTTAAATTATGAAAAAATAAATAAATATGATTCCTATTGCAAACAAACAAAATATTTAATAGCTTCTTCATTTGACTTTGTAGATTTGGCAGTTTGCTTCTATAGTTCTCTGTTTATCTGATAGTTCGGTTTCACAAATAAGTTTACAGATATTTTAAATTAAATTACTAAAAATATGAAGAGTCTTACTTGAGAAATTATATAAATACACGTCTTATATAATTTGTAGAGGATTATAGACAAATTAACTTTCCTGTAGCCAAAACTTTTATAAAATATGTCATTAAAAGAAAAAACTAATTGCATTTATAATTTCTAAATTGCTTTACAATAGTTTCCTAAGAGACCAAAAATCATTTTTTCCCAATTATTTATTTAATACAATAAAATTTATCAGAATGTTNGTCATTAAAAAAAATAAAAAAACTAATTGCATTTATAATTTCTAAATTGCTTTACAATAGTTTCCTAAGAGACCAAAAATCATTTTTTTCCAATTATTTATTTAATACAATAAAATTTATCAGAATGTTAACATACACTTTTTTTTTGCTTATTCTATTAAAAGAAAAAAATCTCAATTAAAAGAAATCTTAACTAAACAAAGCAATATTCTAATTTTCTAAGCGAGTGACATAAATTCCACTTAAAAATATTCATTTTGAAAGCATTCTTTTTACAAGTATAGTAATAACTGGTTAATATATCTTTATGTTGTAACTATTTCAAATTATATTCTGTTTCATCTATGATAAAAAAAATTTTTTTTTTTTGCACTTTACCATTTTTTACAATTAATTGAGCAGTTGATTTAGTTAAGAGAGTTTATAAAAAATAAAAAAAAATTACAGGGTTCCCACTCAATTTGAGAAAAAAAAAATTCCCTGACTTTTCCAGGTATATCAGGTAAATTTCAATGAAAATTAATACCATATTTTATGTATACTACGAAATTTTTCATCAGAAAATTTTGATTCTTTTATTTGTAATGACAAGTATTAGATTTCCCATGTAAAATAAATATCATTATATGAGGAAGGAAGCATTTCAGTTTGTCCAAAATGTGAAATTTTTACAATAAATAATTGCAATAGATGTTAGAATTATTTAACTCAAATCTCAACAGCTGAGTACTGTTACTGACAATTTTAAGACTGGTTTTTATTTTCCAGGTATAATAAAGGAAATTTCTAGGTTCTTGTAAAAAAATTGCAACTTACCCTGACCATTCCCTGATTTTTGGAGTTGAAATAAAATTCCCTGACAATTCCAGGTCTTCCCTGTTCTCCCTGACCCGTGGGAACCCTAATCTTACTTTACCTTACTCTCAGTAAATTTTAGTAAGTTGCAACGAAATGGAACATTAAAACCGTGATGCCAGCAGCAGTTAAGGATTCCGAGTACAATAAGAACGAGAGAAGAAGTTTTAAAATGGAAGGTTAATATACTAGAATCCTTAAGAAATAGCAAAAAATATACTTGTGAATAAAATTTTCATTTGCTTGATAATGGTTACATGTTACAAACATACATTCAAAAGACAACACATGAATAATGAAATCAGAATGAATTAGGAACAATAGTCTTTTCATATTTCTAACCTGCACTGTTTTTATCATTCACATATTGCCAACTTGAGAATGAATGCTAATAACATATTAACTTTGCATCATTTTAATTATGCTGCGAACAAAGTTTTTACCGTCAAAGTAATTTTACTGTTCTATTACAATACTTGACAGAAAGAGACCTCACAGGCTTTGAATGGAAGGCAAGGATAATGGAACCTGTTAAAATTCCTTACAGAAATAAAGTGTTTTCAAACCCTTTGTTTATCACACTTAGTATGGTGAAACTTGATATCCTGGTCCACTAGTTGACTAGTTCTGGTCCACAAGCAACTTATATTTCCAGGTTAATTATGCTTTTAAAATTTTTGAGAATTTCTTTACATTATTTGTTTATAAAAACACAATTTTGAATGAAGGGTTTTCAAAAATTCTACAAATTATGAAAATTAGATCTCTTTTACTTAGAAGAGGTCCGTAAAACCTACATACAGCTTTGAGGATGCGAAACTTTGAGAAGCATTACAAGTATGAAAAAAAAAAAAATGTATAATTATAAATAAAAATATTTATAACAGAAAGCTATCCAAAATTTCCTAAATAAAACTTAATTTTAGTACACTTAAAGGTAAACTGATCAAAGCATCATTTAAAAAAAAATCAAAATAAATTTCACAATTTAGTGAAACAAAAATTTTTTTTTTCTTCACCATATTGTTGGATTACAATTTATCAATAGTAACAATGTAAAACTTATTTTTTGTAGAAAACTTGGTTAACAATTTAAGTCGACACTATAAAAACTAAAAATTATGGCATTGATTGTGTAAATAAATCTACCATAAAAAAATAAATAAAACATTTTTATAACAAGGAAAAGGAAACATTTCAAACTATTGATAAATATTGAATTTAACTTTTATAGACCATGGCTATTATAAACAACAAAATCTTCAGAACAGACCAATGTTTACATGGCTTTTGTTAATAAACAAAGGTTAATCCCCTCATAATAAGGAAGATAAATTATTAGAAAATATTGATTTAACTGGTTTTATATAAAAAATAATTATGCAAAAAGTTTCTTAAGTAAATATCACTTTTACTGAGACTCAATGATAAGAAAGAATTTAATGATAAAAAAAACTACTTAAAGAGAAAAAAAAAATAGTTATCAGAATTAAAACAAAAATACATATTTGAAAGAGTTGTAAAATTGTATATCTTTTTCACAACATTTCTAAGCAATTTATCAATTATTTGCTAAATATTAGTCAAATACTTAAATAACAATTAAATAAGTTAACATAAAATATATGTTATAAATTTTTTTTAATATAAAAAAAAAAAAAAACTTTTTTTTGGAACAAAGAATAATTGTTTAGTATGATAAGACAATTTTCAAACAATCATTTATTTTTAACAAAACAAAAACCACAAATAATATAAATAAATAAAGACAATATTTTACACATTCTACATTTTTAAATTTGTAGAACATTGTTCCATTGGAAATTTTTTTAATAAAAGTGCAATCGTTTAGAAAGAGAAGATAGATTTCGAGATATTAATACAAAATATGTAATCAAATTGCTATATCATTCATTGAACTTAGCATTGATGCAGAAAAGTTAACAAATAACAAAAGATTAATATTTACATCGTTATTAATTGTAAACAAATGTTAATCATTATGAATAAGGAAGGTATCTTATCAGAAATTATTGATCGAACTAGATTTATTTAAACTTATACAACAAAATATTACCTTTCTCTGGGACTAGTAGAACTTTGTGGTCCGTAAGCTTGCAATTTCTCTTCGCTAATTGCAATCCGATTAAGCCGGTCATTTTGAGGATCAGTTTTCACAGAAACGTGTTTCTTGGCACTATTCTGACTACCGGAATTGATACTTTTCGGTGATTCTGAGCTGTATTTTAGGAAATCAGTTTGCAAGCTCAAATTATAAATTCCTATTTTAGTGTCACGATGCGTGCCATCTAAAGAGATGTTTGACAAAAAGCTGTATGCAGCTAATCGGCGACGAGATTTTTGCCTTTTGCTAATAGTGCTCATAACACACTCACGCATCAATGCTTAAAATTTCACTTCCGTAGCTTACCTGAATAGCTGTGGAAGAATGACAGAAAGTGAAAATCTGCAGTCGAAGAAATAGTTCCAGGGCAGGCGAAGTCAATTTTACAGTTATTAGACTTGCCGCGCCATCTATCGATGGATATATGCGTTATTGATGATTTATGATTCCTAAAGGTTGGCTTTCCTTTTCAAGTAACGGTAGTATTTTCTGCAAAAAGGGGAAAGAGATAAAAATAATTCGAAATTCATCGCAGCATTATTCAAGATTCAAAAATAAATGCAAGAGAGAAAGGAGAAAGTAAAGAAAAATAAAATGAGGGTTGAATGTAACCTCGAAATATGTTTCAATAGATATTTTTTTTATTGCATTATTATTTTTTTTTTAAATTTTATATTTTTTTATTCGTAATGCGAACTTATAGTGGTTTGTGGTTAAATTCGATTTCCTTCTATTTGATGTTGTGTAATATTTGTTCATCAAAATATTTTTAATAAGAAACTAATGATTGATTTTGATTTTGATTTTTCTTCGCTTAAATATTAACTTGTGTCCAAGGCCGGATTAACCATTAAGCACACTAAGCACGTGCTTAGGGCACCTGAGGATAGGGGGGCTCCACAAAGCCTAACTAAATGTTCGCAGTAAAATTTTTTTTTTGAAACATTGATAATAAATTTATTATTTTGAGCTTCCATTTTAAGAGTAGATAACAACCATTTCTAAGTACGGAATTTCACATAATAAAAGAAAAAAAAAAACAAAAGATGTTTTGTATCAAAACTTTTCTGTCTTATAATGAAATTAGGTAGTGAATTTCTATGCGATAAAAGCTCTATTTATTTATCCATTACAATGATTCCATAACATACTGCTACGATTCATGTTTACAGAATATTTTTCGCAGTTGTAGAAGTTAATACTCCAGAAATTTGATATTTTTATGAAAAAAAATTTGATTTACAAAATTTTGATGCCATGGTTTGATGATGTAAAAAATGTGATTTTTGATGAGAAAAAACAATCTATGTTGTGCATGTTTGCAGTTTCTGCGCATGTTTTTGTTTATACTACATAAAATATTTGCTTATACTATATTTTTAATTATATTCTCTTTTCAACTAGAAAAGAAGTCATCAAATTACGTAAAGGTTGTGTTGCAAAAATTTATTTCAAAAATTTACGTCAAATAATTTTTTTTTATTCACTAAATTAAGAAAAAGGAGCTGTGTTTAAGTATCATTTGTCGAAATTTCTTTGTGGAGGAGAGGTTAAAATTAGGAAAAATATGACCACACACTTCGCATCACTTATGATTTTTTTTATCTATATATATCGAATAACGAAATTAGATTTTAAGATTTAAAATNATTTTATCGATCATTTTTAAGTGTAATGATTTCAAATATTAAGCAGTGAAAGATATTGTAAAATAGTTATAAAAGCAAGAAAATGGAAATAAATAATTCAAAAAAAAAGATAGGCTAATGAGTTTTTAAATGTTTTTATAAGTTTCAGAATCTCAGCTTTGACAATAACAACTTACTTATCATGTTTTCAGTAACTTAATATTTCTATGCGAATTGAAAAAGAAATTACTATTCTCTTCTTTTTTTTCCAATTAGGTTTAGGACAAAAATTGCATTTTTTTATTCCTTTTCCGACATATACCAAAAATGAAACTATTTTACAATATCTTTCAGTTTTTAATACTTTAAACTATAACCTTTTAAAAACATTTCAAAAATTTAATTTTAGAGAGAAAACTGGTCGTTGACTAGCTTTGTATGAAGGTAAATTAACTTGTTAACTTTTTAATTATTTATAAATTGATTCCCCATTTACTGATTTACTAATTGGCTTCATGACGATCAGCTTCACTATTTACCGATTTATTCAGTCGCAGATTCATTAATTCGTTCTTTTATTGATTCGGACATTTGCAAATTCATTTGTTCTACAAATTTGTGATTCATTAAAACCTTATCAAATCTAGGCTGATCTGTTCGCAGTAAATTCCGCCTGGAAAAATTTTACTTTAAATTACAATTTTCCAAGCACTGTAGTCGAAGTTTGCTTGGAAAAGCGTAATTAAAGGTGGTTTGTAATAACCACTCTTTATACACCACAACCGGGCAGACCACTGTAAGGTTTTAACCCTCTCTCAATTTTTTCCGCGAAGAATAAGGCTTGTTTGTTTTTATTCCCATCTTTCTCAATTGTGATTGATAATGATTTTGATTTTTCTTCGCTTAAATATTAACTTGTGTCTTAAAATGTGCGTACAGTTTGGACTTCATTTTTAGAACTGTTACAAAAATCTAGTGAAGGAAAAACCTGTACAAAAAGGCAATATTTTCAAAGAAAAATTTTGGTGAATCCATTGTCTGTTAACAGAACAATCGGGTTTTATCTAATAAATATGCTTCGTTAGGCCTGCTTTTGCACATACAAAGATTAAAATTAAAAGCCATGTTCAACTATGTATTTTTTTTGAACAAATAAATAAATAAATAAAAACTAAAATCGCTCGCCTTCCGATGAACCAGGTTCGAATCCCAACGATGACCCAGCTCGCACCGACCGCAGCGCTGACGTAAAATATCCTCATTAGTAGACGGATTAGAATCTCGTCATGCTAACCGCGGAAGCTTATCATGGTTTTTCTTCTTCATGTAACGCAAATGCGGGTTAGTTCCATGAAAAAGTTCTCTAAGAAGGCAAACTTTTCATTTAAACTTGATCTAGGAGTACCCTGGTCTGCTGGATTGGTTAAAAATCACAAGGCTACAAAGTTGAACATTCGTAGTCGTAAATTCAAAATTGGGTCTGCTGTTTAACGACGATTATGATAAAAAATTAAAAAAAAATCAAAGATGTTCGATAATTACTGATGTAATACATATAACTGTTGACGGATGTAATATAATTCTAAACTTTCAAAATTCTCATTAATTAATTTTCCTGAAAATCGGCGCAATACAAAGCTGGTGCCCCAAATTTTTTAAATAATTAAGGTTTGTATTATTATGTTTAATCTAATGCTTTCTTATACGCTTAAAAAATCATCTACTCAATTTTTATTCTAAAGGTTGGGAAACTGCTATTGTTTCAAATTTAATTTATTATTCATTTGATAGTAATATATTTCTTTCAAAATAAATCTTACACTATAGATGAAATATTGCTGCTAAATTCAAATGGAACAATTGAAACAAAAATATAGATGAAAATAAATTTAAAAAGAAAAAAAGCTTCGACGATATTTTTTAGATATTATCGAATTATAAACTTTCGTAAGAATATGCCAATAGAAAAAATGACATACTTGGAAAAAAAATCGGCATTCTCAACTTTTTAAAAAACTTGTTGCGTTGCTGCAATCAAAAATCCTATAAAAATTTAACTACATCGTACAGGTGATTGAAGTTGCAGATGGTTGAGAAGACTATCCGTGACTTGAAATAAAAGTTAATTATTGATAAATTTCGTGAAACAATTAAAATTAGATGAAGAAAGAGTTGAGGCAGTGGAGGAAAGAATTTATTCGAATATACCCGAAATTCCTCTTTTTCCAACTTTATAACATTTCTCCCGAAATCATGCATAGCATTTTTATGAATGATTAAAAAATTACAAAAAATTGGTTTTTCTTTTTAGCTTTTGAAGCATCTGGAGGGTTGTTTAAAAATATCGAGAGGGGCGTTATAATTCCAGTAGCACTCCCCCTCCCCCCCTTTATTCGACCATGATTTCTACTCATGATTTGTTTCGATGAGTCACAAGATATTTATTCGTAATTCGTATTTTAATGCCTCAGAGAACATTCTAAAAAACATTTGCAAATTTTTTTTTTCATTTTTATTTTCCGTTTCTTTTATTATCGTTTGCATGAGATGAATTGTTTTTTCTCTAGAATGACACAGGAGATCTCGTCCATTTCGTTTTTTTCTTCTTTTTTTCTTCTCACCTTGTATGAACTTGAGCCTTTCACGTGAAAAACTATGTTTTTATCAAGCACGTGAAACATTGCGTAATCCTTTGATTTGTTTCGGTCTAATAAATCATTTCTTGATACAGGAGAATTAACAAAGATGCCCAACTATCGCTTTTTGTTTTTTCTTTCAATGAGATTCACGGAATCAATGAAAGCCACTCAAATAACTAATGTGAAAATAAGTGCTATTTTTTTTTTTGCTTTATATATTTATTATTATTTGTTTGAAAATAAAATTATTCGAAAAACATTTATTAATGTAAATAATGTAACATTTGATAACGTAAAATTTAATCATGAAAAATTTAATAATGAAAAAAATTAGATTGTGTAGATTTCTTATTTTATTAATTATTGCTCTCGAGTGTTAAAAAAATTAATATGTTTAATAACTTTTGATCTAGTTAGTAATCGAATTTTCTAGAGAGCTGACTCAATCCTATTGGTTTGAATTTCTAACTTTAAATATGCTAATTTATGCAGAAGATATTTTGAGTTATGAAGTCAGAATTAAAAACTTACACTCTCAGCAAAGCATGCAGTTTTTTTTTTTTTTTTATCAACAAAATTGGATTTTTAATCCTCAAAATATGGGGACAGCTGCAATGTGGAAAATATGGTCCTAATACCTTAAGCAAGAGAACAATCAAAAGTTTGATCTTCTTAATGTTAATTACACTTTTGCGATTTTCTCGAACACTTTTTAAACGAACGAAAGCATTTTAGCACACAATTATAAAATTTGTCTATCCAAAGATAACTCCTTGTTAAAATTAATTTTTTTATAAATATTTAACATATTTTGCTTGTTTTATTCAATAATCGAAAAATTTTGAATTGTGAAACATGCTAATTTCTACATTATGATAAATTATGTAATTTTAAATGACATTTAATATTCCAGGGATGTGATTTTTTAAAATTGAAGTGTTAGCTCAAACGAAAACTATACACTGGAAGATATTATAAATTTGCTGCCACTGTTTAATGTTTATATTGTTGTGGTTTATTATTGTCTCGGACTTTCATTTTGATATTAACAACCTCATTTTTTTATGAACTTTCAATTCCTTAAATAGAATTCAAGAAAGAATTTGAAA